GCGGCCTCCTTGTGTTCAAAACTCTTCTGCATCCGAAGTTCGGCAATTTTCTGCACTAGTGGTAAGAGTAATTCCTCAGCTGCGAGTGTCGATTTGCCGTCCTCGAGGCGCATGTTAAGGTTTAGGATGAGCGAAGATATGACATGTAGCAACTCTGGGATGGCCGACGCGTAGGCCAAGGAGTCCAAAGCTTTCGCAATTTGTGCGATAACAGCCCTAACGGGTGATTTACCATCAGATGCATCCCCCACAGCTGTGCGAGCCATGAGTAATGTAATACATTGAGCAAGCGACTCCAGTGCCTGTGCAACGGCCTTCCGTGTTTGCGCATGGCGTGTCTCAAAGAAGGACCAAACAGTTTTCCAAACTTTAATGAATTGCTGTGACGACGCTTCTGGATCTGCAGAGTGATAGGTAAGCATGACATCCCCTAGGACGCGCAACCACGATGGAGCAACGGTGGTGTCGGACTTGGGGGGTGAAGACGACAGGACGGCGCTCAGTACTACGGGAATCTGCTCTGTACTGCTTTGAGTACCCGAGTCGACCGAAACCGACAGTAGGTCGGAAATAATTGAGTAGGAGGACTGTGATAAATATGGATTGCCGAGTCTGGGCAGAGTGAGCAGGATGGTTGTAATCGGAGGGATGGCCTTATCGTGCCAGTCAGGCGCTAATTCGAGCACTGGAATATATTGCTCACATCGAGTGGGAGGTTGGGTAGAATAGGACGCAGCAATGCTAGGAGACGGATCGCATTGTCGACCGAAAACTCCTTTGTAGCGGATTTTGATTTTGGTAAGACGCCGGAACTGGATTGATGGAGGGAATTTTGCATCCACTCAGCGACGCGCTCGGCATAGGGATGGCGTAGAAGTGGACTTGGTGGGTTCGATAACACATCATTGACTAGATCGATGGCACGCCTGCGCACCTTTGGTCGAGGATCTAGGCACAGTTGCAGGATGGTTGCAAAAGATTGGCGCACGACTGGCGTGTCCAGCTGTGATCGGTCAAGAGCATGGAAAATGGAGTTGTACAAGGTAAGCTGAGATCTTAGTGGAGGGGCGTGGGTGGAGAGAAGGGGGAATAACGGGGCGGTGAGCGAGAGAAGGGTACTCAGATTTGACTGGATGACCGGACGGGGAACGAAAGGTGCTACCAAAGAAAGCAGGTAGAGAATGGCTGGTAGGACATCACCATCGCCCAGGGCAGCATCTTTCTTTTGCAGTGTGCCATCAAGGGTGGTTATCAGTGCTGCGAAGTAGGCTGTCGATGTGCGATCAGTGTGCGTCTCTGTCAAGGTCGACTCGAGCGCGTGGAGGAGCGTCGCAGGTGTCTTTTGATGGGGCAACGAGGACGACGTGTGTGGTCGAATTTTTGCCAATGCTGTCTCCATGATCGACTCGGATAGTAGCGGACAAAGCATTATAAGCAGGCACAGCTTGACTCGCACTATTAACCATGCCAAAGGGCTCGCCTACGTCCTGGTCTTACATTCTCGTTCGGTCAGTACCAACTCGTTCGCCTCGCCCCGACCACCATTCAACCGCCTGGTAGCCTTCTCTTTCACTTTGTCCTCAAGATATTCTACGGAACGATAGTCGTGGAAAATATCGAGTATATACCCACGACCGGAGAACCTTGGTGAGAGAGAAACTCCACCGTGTCCTATTTTCAGCAGCCTTAATTTGGATCAACAAACTAGCATCGTATGTTCGAATCACCCCAACTCGCTGACCGATGCTCTGTATGTCGTTCCTTGCTCTTTTAGTAGCTCCCACTTACACCCTATTGGCATAGCATCCTAGTCACCTCCATTCCCCCCGGGGTAATCATGAGCAATTATTCCAATATTCATCTACTGAGTGGAACCTGCTAGACGCGCAATATGCTGCGCCTAACTGCCAAGTCTACCCAGTTTGGGCGCAAGACGTTCACTAGCTGGCTAATCGAGTCTGCGGGAACTGTTCCAATCAAGCGACGCAAAGACTTTCCCGAAGGTGATACTGACAACTCGGAGGTAATGGAAAAACTTATACAGGTAAAAACCATCCGGTCGAGGTGCAGTGTAGATCACCTATTTCTTGCAGGCACTCGAAGTTGGTGATGCCGTGTGTTTGTTTCCAGAAGGGGCGAGCCGCTATCATCCCACTATAGCGCCAATGAAAACTGGTGGTACGTCTGCCCATGACTTTATCGACCACGTTTGCTGAAATATCCATTCCCAGTCGCGAGACTCCTCTCTGATGTGCTGACCCGGAATCGCGATAATCCTGACTTTTCCATATCCATTCTCACATGTTCCTTGACATATATGTAAGCAGTTCTATACAAGTAGCCTTTGTCCCATTCACCTTTGAAAGGCATCGACAGCACTTCCGCTCCGATGTATTGGTCACTTTCAATCCCCCCATGAAGTTCACCCCAAAGGTATGCTCAACCATTTTTCTTCACACTTCTTCATCCCTAAACGCTCTTGTACAGGACAATCCGGAGTTTCTCGCGCCTGTGGACTTTGCTTCCATCCGAGATGTCACCTCACGGATGCACCAGCTGATCAGCTCTCAAACCGTTGATGCACCTTCTTGGGATCTGATCCGGTCCGCGAAGCTTGCCGCTCGAATATATGTCCCGTTAGGGACATCAATGTCTCTAGGGGACTTTGTGCGTGTAATGCGAACTTTTGTCGAAGCATTCAAGTTATCAGCAGCAAAAGGCGAGAAATATGACCAGCAAAATCAAGAAGACGACGATATCAATAGACTACGAAATGACTTGAAGGTAACTTGCCCTTGGCTCCAGAAGCGACTGCCCTTGTTAATTGGGTTCTGCAGCGGTATCAAGACAACCTTGTATACTGGGGCATCAAGGATGATCGTATCCGACGACCGTTGCGCCGGCGTACGATCATATCCCGGATGGTCGTCCGTCTCATCTGGTCCTTCTGTCTGATGACCATATCCCTTCCCGGACTTGTATTGTGGGCGCCGGTGTTCGTCACGACCTTTATTGGTGTACGCAACTTCAAGAAAAGCGGGCCCACCTGGGACACGTGGGATGAAATTGCCCAGTACAAGCTCGTGTACGGCCTCATCTCGGGAGTAATTGTCTGGATTTCGTCTGTGCTGCTCACGCTTCCCTTCGCGATGATCACGGTGATCCTGGTCCCTGCACTGATGTGGATGACGTTGAGATGGTTTGAGGACGCAGTCTCGGCTTTCAGGGCGTTCACCGCCTTGCTCCGTCTGCTCTGGGTGGGTCCGATGACACTGAAGGAACTCCGCGAGACACGGGATGATCTACATTCACGCATTATGAACGTAGCAGTGGGAACCCTGGGTCTCCCGCAAAATCCAGAGAAATACTTCTTGGAAAGCGGGGGTCGGGAGAAGGGGCGCGTCAAAAGTAAATGGGAAAGCGGCGCCAAGTACTTTTCGATGCGCAGGAGAAGGAAAAGAGATTGGAACGAAACACTCCGGCTTTATGATAAAGTAGACTACCCCGATGAGGGGTTGTAACGAATCTGACGGCATCTCATGAGTTTATACATAGCGAGGTCTTTTTGGCTAGGAATAGTGCAGTCGTTGATCGTTATGAACAGCCACTTGGCGAAAATCATACTACATATCAACCAAAGTCGTGATTGCAGAGGATAACGTTACTACTTTTCAGATAAGTCAATTGGTAGAATGAATGACTATCTGAATGGTGACATCCGTTGGCGAGATTAAATAACAGCTCGTAACAACATGAACTCCACATGGGTATGAAGGAGGTTGAATGTCGTCATAATAGATAGAGGCACACCAGACAAACCAAGCTTGATCTAGCAAAAAAGCCGGAAGGGAATTCAAAGACGTCATCCCCGGATGGGCCGATAGGCTCTATTTCCAGCAGCCCAGCTGTGACCACGATCAGCAGCAATTCCAGTCACAATAACAGCAGAGCCAACGAGAAAACCGACGACCCAAGAAACCGCATTGAAGACATATCCCAATCCTGCAAGGGGTGAGTACCACACGCGTCTCTCGTACAAAAATGCCTTACCAGGTTTAGCATGTTCAAAGTTATCAAAAGCGTTCCTGCTATAGAGTTCTGTCACGAGAACAAATGCTCCCAGCTGGAAGATGGCTGGGGAGGGTTGGTCTCAGGCCACAAGAAGATAACGAGGTGCATACCGTGCAGCAAGACTAGACCTGCGACAGCTCTCCAGACCCGACGACGCCTGGAGTGTGTGCTTACGCCGATGAGTAAGGCTACCAAGGCCATGGAGGCGAAACCGATGCCAAGCTCGGTGAAATATCGGGCAGAGACCCATTCGACACAGGCGAGGTGGTTTTCCTTTTCACAACCGTCTTGCACCTTGAGAGGGAAAGGGCGACATTGAAAATCCGAGTATTCAAGACGTCCGTTGCCTGGGCCAGGAATGCTGACTATGGAGCGCTCGCAGCGTTGCAGGAGTCCGTAGCGGATCGTTGTTGTTGTGTTTGGTAGGTCTAATTCATAAGTTGTGATGAGCCTTCAAACTGATTGTTAGGTTTGGTGACTGGTTGAGAAGACATGTGTCTCGCGAACCAGTCGGGAAGACGTGCAGACAAGATGTTCTTGAGCAAGGGGTGAGTGACGGGGGGACACTAGGGGTGATCTGAGTGTACTCACGACGACAAGGACGATCAGGACGGCTGCGAACGTGACCACATATGATGTTTTCCTCATAGTGGACGGAGGGTGACAAGAAATTTGATGAGGAGGAGGCTGAGTTATGCGTCTGAGTTATATGCAACTCCACATCCAGCAGGGTTAACTTACGTAAAGTGGTGCGGATTGCTATCTTCTTATCGCGAACCATTGGCACAATTCTCTCTGAGAGGCATATATCGCGCTGTCAGTAACAACCGTTTCCGAAGGTCAGGTTCGTCAATCGTGCCTAAGCGATTCCCATGCGGTCAGAGATATCTGCCGTTGAAATAGCTCCAATGGGTGAAGCACGATGTCGCGTCCTTGTCGATTAGTGGTTAAATCATCACGTTGTGGAATACCAAACCCGTGAAGCCGGAGGTTCGAATCCTCCCTGGGACACTTTTTTTTTTTTCTTTTTTTCCCCAGTTGATTCAAGAGTGAGAAGGGCAGTGTCCCGGTCAACTCTAACGGGACCGGTGGGTGTTGAGAGGGCGTTCGAGTACTTGTATTCGGTGTTGACGTTGGACGAGTGGGAAAGTCACTCGAATTTACGTATGAAATTTCCGACTCCGGTTTGCGATTGCACGGCGGCCTTCTCGAGCTTGTCGTCGCTCGTTTCCTTTGTCAACGTCGTCGGAAACGGCGAGCATCGATTTTTCATTCGCCCCCCCACACGAGCACGCCTCTCCGCAACAGTGTCCGCAATTAATCACACCCAGCACTCCGCCCATCCTCGCTCTCTCCACACCACCCGGCTGCTCCCAAGAACACACCCAAGCGTCGTCTTTTGGCTCATGACCTTATCCTTTGGTGGCCTCGGCCTTCTCTACCCTTGGTCTCCCATGCTCATATGGGACCATACAAGAGCCGGTTTTCGATCCTTCATCTGTGCTCTCATCGTCCTCGCAGTCCTCCTCATCCTCGGTGAGCTTCCTGTCTCGTCAGCCCTTTTTCAATTCTCACATCTCTTTCTCTCTTCGTTCCCAGCATACCTCACCAATCCGACAGAGATATCCTTCAGGGCTTACCTTACTGAACAGTCTTTCCGCCAGCATTTGAGTCACTTGGAAGATCTTACAGATGATTCCGCACTGGAATTCGATTGCAATCTCCCTCGTTCGCGCACTCACAGCTCGGACCGAAACACCACTGTAGATCGTGCCACACTCCCCTTCCATTTCGCTAACCGTGCTTCCGTGTCCCTCCGTACCCCAAAACATGTCTTCCACAGCTTTGGTATCTGCACAATTGCCACAACCCGCGGTGCTGCAGTCCCCGCTGGTGACCGTCGCGCAACCAGCTCACATAATCATCCTTCCCAGCGTTCGGATCTCGATGGTTTCGTAGCTTCCGACTCGTGGTTCATCGGTGCCTTTGGACGTTGGTGGCGCGGTGGCCTTGTCGAGTCTTGGTATTATGATGCCATGATCCGTTCAAAAGACGCCCAGGCTTGGAGTTCTGGCATTCTTGGCTTCAAGGCCTTGGATAAATTACATGATTACAATGGTAAATTCCTCACAATCATCCAGATAGCCTCAACTTTTAACGCTTGACCAGGCCTCCCGTTCGCCAAGTTTGTTCCGTGTCCTCGTCCGTTATTACGTGGATCGCCTCCCAAACTTCGTAATCGAGAACGTTCCACCCAACCGTCCGGCGGCTCTATCACGCATCGTAACTCTTCGCCACCACCACTACCAAAGTCTGCATCGCTGCCTTTACATGCTGACCATCGCCTCCATGACTTCCTACCAGCGGCACAGCAGTCGTCTCACCTGATCGCAGACCAGAAGCGTATGGCTGTGCATGCTCCCCCGGTTGCTTACACCATCTCCCGCACTTCGTCCACCTCTGGGACGTCCGACCATTCTCCAATCCTTGCGGAAGTCTTGAAACAGATAGCGGCTGTGCAGACGTCTATCCATGACCTTCAGAACCAGTTCCAAGAGGCTCAGAATACCGCCAACCAGTCCCACAAATCGTTCGAGGCTGAGCTTAGCGATCTCCGTTCGAGGAGGCGGGAAGAAGATCAGAGGCGAGTCGACGGTCGTGCTCGTACCAAAACTCTGGAAGAAGCCCGGCGTCTGGCAGAGACAAGCAAAAGGGAGGCAGAGAAGAAGATGAAACTTGCCTGTAACGCCAAGGACTCCGCGGTGCGTAGAGCGGAGGAACTGGAACTAGAAATTCAAGGGTTGAAGGAACGGATGGAACATGATCATGCAATCCTTGCTGCCGAACCCAGCGAAGCCGACAAAGAAGAGGAAGAGGAACTGATCCGTGAGTTGGAAAGGAAGAGGAAGGAAGTGCTAATAGCAGATGAAGTTGTCGTTGCGTTGAACACCCGTGCACGGGAGCTGGAGGAGAAGATTGATGAGAGCAAGTCCCGACTCCGTGCTGCCCAACACCGCGCTCAACTTACCAAGGCATACCTCGATTCAACTGACGTATCTCACTCTGGCGTTGTGAGCGGCGGTGTCGTCGTCCAACACTGCAACTATGGGCAGCCGGATAACCCTACATGGTCTTCGTCTTATAACCCGTTTGACGTCCCCATAGATGATGTTTTAGCATCGTCGAAGGTGTCAGAACGTGTCAGCGGCGACACTGGATCGGAATCGAGAGAAATTTCGCGCTCTCCAGAGCTTTTGGGCCTCGCCTCGGGTACGTCGTCAACTTCTGACAGCATAGATGGTGATTTGAACGTTTTTCCAGTTCTTCGTGCACAGGGTTATGCCGCCTTTGATGATGACACTTCCAGCACATCGCTTTCGCTCCGTTCTGGCCATGGCCAGAGTGGTTATTTTCAACCCGGACAAGGCATTTCATTTTCGCCATTTTGTGATCCTACGACTCCTTCAGCAGCATTCATTCCAAGCAGCCTGATCAGCGTACTCGATTCTCCCTCGGCAGACTTGCAGGGAGGATTCGGTATCAAGAACGGTCCTTTCACATCCTCGCCTGTTGAATACAATGGACGCTCCTTGGAGATTGAATCTGAGCTCGAGTCTTCTGATCTTCATCATGCTCAGGGACCATCCAGCTCTGATCAATTTTCTATGCGCCAGAATACCATCCCTTATGAGATACACGGATCGGATGACACCCAGGAAATTGCGCGGAAGGGCACGGGGATCACTCCCAAAGGGTGGTTTTCCGCTCCTAGGAATGAAAAACAGCGCAGCAGCCTTAATCCAGATGCAAAAGTGTTCCGTCTTACAAGGCCTACATCAGACAAGACCGGAAGCGCCGACACGTCCACGCCTTCCGTATCCACCTACGACGCACTAAATCCAACGGGACTTACGCCCAGCATCACGTCTTCGACGCCCTCTTCCCTGCTTCGTGCTTTCGCCCCTTCTCGCGCCGAGCGTGAGGCGTTGCAGCGGGCACTCGGTGGGTCGACGAACACGAGTCTCGAACGTCTTCCAAGCCTCAGTGACGTGGGAAGTATCCCTTCGTCGCCTGCGCATATCCATGCAGAGGCTTCAGGGAGGAGCATCGGGGAGAAGGATTGTGTACTCCCTGCGTGGCTGCAGTCGTTGCCGTTGATTCGGAAGCCCAACTTTAGTCCCTGGGAGGACGAGGAACCGGTGTCCACCGAGGTAAAGAGGAAGTAGAGGCAGGTAAAGGGTAGCAAAGGTGGGAGAGGGAAGGGGGGGAAAGCGGCCAGTCGAGGGGGTTGTAATCGTGTGGCAAGGTTTCAGTCGGTTGCAGGTTGGCGAGGTTTCGTTGAAATAGAGAAAAGCCTGGGAAGCAGCGGTGAGAGGGGCTGATCTACTTTTTTCAACTGGTGCTGTTGCTTCGACCGTTTTATATATATCACGAATGCAAAAAGTATGTTGAACCATACTTGTACTATTTCCGTCCCCGAGCTAGCCTCCGACGATCGCATCATCATGATTAACCAGCTGGTGTCGTAAAGTTTTGAATTTTGACTCCTCGAGTCGTAGATGATTGACTCAACCAGTCCCTGCTACCTGGCAATGCCCACGGCAACGACGGAAGTGTTCCATTCATAGAGTTTGAGGCATAAATTAAGGGGGGAAACAAGGGTGTACGTATACAGCGTGGACAAGCAAGCAGACAAAACTTGGCGGTCGGGCCAGTGATGCGATCACACACGCCCGCTATACTAAAATATCCGCACCCCCTCGGTCTCCGTCTCCGCAGCCGCAGCATCTTGATGGGGTGATAAACCGTAATCCGACAGAAATCGACGGACGCTTGAAGGCAGCGTGTAACCGCACTGGTGCATTTCTGACAGAGCTATCGAGTACCGCGAATCCCTCGCAGCCACACACACTTGGATGATCGTGGCGTACACCCGAGCCGAGGGGACAAACTTTTGGGTTTTCATCTCCTCGAGGTAGAAAAATGCGTCGCCGTACACTGGTTGGGTCAGACAGAGCAGTATGATATGTTCATACGTTGTGGCGTTGGGCTTGACAGCAGCTTGTCTCAGTTCCAACAGGAGCTTGTCGCCAAGTTCGCGGTGCTTCGCAGCAACGCAGCCCGAGAGAAGGAAGTTGAACGTGTCGACGTTGGGCTTGCAGTCATAGTCGGGGAACGATTTGTAGGCACCCATGGCACGTTGCAAGTCATCCAAGAGGACAGATGCTTGAATGATTGAATTGAGGATGAGGGGGTCTACCGTGTTCCCCTCGCGCCGCCATTGATCGAGTATTAGCCAAACGTCGTCGACGCGATCGACATTTTGCTGCAAATACTGGGTGAATGGTCGAACTGTTTCGCTGGTAGGGTTGATGCACTGTTTTCGCATCGCATCCAGGGTGCGGAAGGCTTCCTTGAGCTTCCCATCTTTGCAGAGAGCTTCAACCAGGGGAGCGAAATGGTGTTCGTACCAAGGATCTACGCCCAACCCCCGGAATACCCGCATGACATCCAAAGCCAGATCTGAGAGACCATGACGGGCGCACGTGTGGAGAACAGATAGACAAGCCCCTTCGTCTGGAGTGAGGTTCGATGTATGGACGACCTTGTTCCAGCAAAGCTTGACGCCTTCTGCCTAGAGGTCAACTATCAGTTAGCGAGGCACCAGAATATATTCCCAAAACATACGTAAAGCATGTCTGCTGAAGATGTGAGACACAACATCCATGTTTCGCTGCAGAGTCTGCGAGGGGAACGGGACTCGAAGTGTTGGGCAATCTCGATGGCGAGTTTTGGGAGATCCATATATGCGGCGAGCTTTATGACGTCTTGAGCAGTGGTAAGCAAAGGGACAAGTCCGAGGTTCTCCATTTCATGCATATACTGGAGAGCAAGCTCGAGACTCTCTGTAGTGGTTGCACGTCCGATGATGAAGGCATAGGTTTGTTCGTCTGGTTCCATGCCTTGCCTTTTCATCTCGTCTACGACTTGCCACATGGTATCTGCCGAAG